AAATTTCTAACACTTTTTTCACTGCAGATGCTTAGGGATGTCCTTGCACTGGAAGCTTTCTTTGCAGGGAACTTACTGAAGGATTAGTCTCAAATTGATGTGTCTATAGAAGGGGTATTAGAACAAATTAATAATAGTTACAAATGGTAAGGACTAGGTAGTATTCACCCAAGAGTTCTAAAGGAATTCAGTATGAAATTGCTGAACCTATAATGTTTAATTAGTTGGTTTTAATCATGCTTCCAAACCAGAGGAATGTAAGGTAGCAACCCAATTTTTAAAGTGAGATTATTGGAACTAGAGAGCAGTGAGTTTGATTCCCTACCGGGCACTTGAGGCATGTGTCTATTGGCTGTTTCTTTTTTGTAGTTTCTACTAAATAATGGTAAGGAAAGAATTCAGTAGAGCTTTTATAGAAGGAAGTAACCGTTATGGGAATTCTTCAAATGAGTCACTGAGCATGAAGAAAGATCCTACAGTTCATATAGTTTTCTTAGCTTCCAGAAGTCCTTTAGTAAGTTCTTGAGATGCAATGGGATAAGAACAAAGGCCATATAAGGGATAAAGATTTGGTTAAATGATCATTTGTCTTTTAATGGGGTAGAAATACTTGGCTGTTTTGTAGATCAGCAGAGTGATCCCACAATGATCTATGCTAGATTTTATATAGTCAGCATATTTGTAAAAGGCTTGGGAAAAGAGGTGAAGAGTCAGATGACAAGGTTTGTTTACAGTACTGGGTTTCTCATTGTGGTAAAATCAAAAACCGTCCACGAAGACATGCAGAAGGATCTTGTGACGTTAATAGGAAAGGAAATAGCAGATGAAATTTGGTGTTATTAGATGCAGATCAATGCATATGGAAAGAAGGGTGGAAGAGTGGTAACTTTACAGACTTGAAATGGGCTCTCAGCTAGCTAATGTTTCTCCAGGAATGCCAGTTTATGGCTTGGTGTAAAAACACGTCAAAAAGGAAATGGAATGCTGGCAGTTTTTGGAAGGAACAGGTAGAAAAGCAGAACATCCCATTATAGGAAAAAGTGGTATTCACCATAGCATTATACTTGAGCTATTCTGATTTCTCGTCTTAAAAAAAAAAAAAAAAAAAAAAAAAAAAAAAGTGAAGGGAAGTACGGATGAGGGCTACAAAATGTTTAAATGTGGACTGGCTTTTATGCAGGCACTGACTAAATCATTTTTAAGATCAAAGCTTCTTAGGCTGTTGGGAAGAATTGAGGAAGGGGGATCTGATTATAATCTATAAAATTGTAAATGATGCATAAAAATTTAAATAGGAGGAGGTAGCTTTTCTCCTAAGGTCACTTGGTACTACCCTATGTTTTGAGGCTGCTACAAGACAAAAAAATAGGAAGTGTTACTTCACATGGTGTACGTCCATTGCCACAGGTGGTTATGAATGCCAGAATTCAGAGGTTTAAAAAAAAAAAAAAGGGTACATATAGGGAGAAAAAAAAGTCCACCAGAGGCTGTTAAACATAAGGATACTACTACCTGCAGCTCAGGAAGTCCCATAAAGTGCTGGAGACTAGGAAGTTACCTTGAAGAGATATCATTATATGTTTGCCCTGTTTTTTCTCTTCCCCAGCATCTGCTACCGAACACTGGCTGAAACAGGATATTGAGGGAGATGTGCCTCAGGTCAGATGTGCTGCAACTGTTCTTATGTTTAACGCTCCAAAAGACCCTAGCAGTTTGGAGAGTGATGTTTTGCCCGTTATATCTGTTGCTATCTTTCCAGAAGTGTAAAAGCAGAACTCTTGATAGGTGGCATGTTGTATATGTTTGGATTCCCTGGAGGATATGCCTTCCACAGGGTAGATTAATCATAAGTATGTCTGAGCATAAATCTCTGTCTGCCTTGCTGTTCACCTGAGAGCATAGATTAAGAAAGATCTATTTTTTTTCTGTTGGTAAAAGTAAAAACGCCTCAGCGCTCACTGCTAATACACA